GGGAGGCGGTGGTGGGGAGGAGGCAGAAATCTTTAATAAATAATTAAAAAAATTTTAATGTGTTTATGTCTGTGGAAGTATATATGCTATGTGTGTGTATGGGTACCCTTGGAGGCCAGCTGAAGTTACAGGCAGTAGTAAGACCCTTAATGTGGCTGGGGATGGTGGCACACGCCTTTAATACCAGCATTTGGGAAGAGGAGGCAGGCAGATCTCTGAGTTCGAAGCCAACCTGGTTTACACAGCTAGTTCCAAGACAGCCAGGGTTACACAGAGAAACCCTGTCTTGAAAAAAAAAAAGCCTAGGGGGCTGGAGAGATGGCTCAGAGGTTAAGAGCATTGCCTGCTCTTCCAGAGGTCCTGAGTTCAATTCCCAGCACCACATGGTGGCTCACAACCATCTGTAATGGGGTTTGGTGCCCTCTTCTGGCCTGCAGGCATACAAACAGAACATTGTATACATAATAAATAAATAAGTATTAAAAAAAAAAAAGCCTAATATGGGAACTGGGAACTGAATTTTGGGTCCTCTGGAAGAGTAGTAGGCGCTCTCTTTTAACCACCGAGCTGTCTCTCCAGTCCCTCATTTCTTTCAGCCTACCGTGAACTTTATGAGGGTGATGTAAATATCACTCCTATTTTAATAGATAGAGAAAAAAAAATCAGCTTCAAGGACTAATTGACTAAAAGATGTTATAAAACTGGGAAATAGCTTGAAGTTCATATGCCTAAATAGGAGCATACAGCACAGCTTCTGTGCAGGTTTTGACAGTGATGTATGTGTTGACTAACAGTGAACAAAAGTAGTTACCTGCTGCCCTTCTGTGCCCTCGGCGGTGACCATAGCAACAGAGTGTGTTCCTGCTGAGGAGATGACTGCATCATGAGTAGGGACCGTGATGGGTGTGCCATCCTGTGTTACCATGGTGATGGTGTTGCCAATGGCCTGCATGTCAGCTTGAGATATATTGACCTGCAAACAGTGTATTTTACAAGTCAGTCAATATCTCTTGTTACATTTGGCAATCTTAACTAAGGAAAGAGCCTAATCCTTACTCTGTGGGAGCAAATAAACTTTTTACAATGAAATAAACTCTTTTTAACTCATCAGACAAGTCAACTTTTTTTGTTTGTTTGTTTAGTTTTCTTAGACAGGGTTTTGTTCCACTGCCTGGAACACTACAGTAATCCTCCTGCCTCAGCTTTCTGCTTCCTGGGATTATGTTTATGAGCCACTATGCCCAGTTTAGACCCTTACTTCTGCCATAATCTAATATCCTTACAGGTATTGGGCCCAACTCTTCCTGCTCTGGCCATCTCTACCTTGATACCTTGCATCCTGCTCAAACCTCTATTACCTAGGGTCTAGAATTCCTGCATGCACTTTTACCTGTTGACTTTTTTCTTTTCTTTTATTTTATTTTAAAAATTTCATTTGCATTGGTGTTTTGTCTGCATGTATATCTGTATGCGGGTATCAGAGTCCCCTGGAACAGGAGTTATAGACAGTTGTGAGCTGCCATGTGGGTACTAGGACTTGAACGTGGATCTTTGAGAAGAGCAGTCAGTGCTCTCAACCACTGAGTCATCTCTCCAGCTCCACTTTTCAACTTTTTTTACAAATGTTCTTAACCCCATTTTCTATCACCTCAAATCTGCATCTGACACCCCAGCCACTGCTAACCTTGTCACATTTTCATGGCTTTGCCTGGCAAACTCATGAAAATCCTTCAATCCCCACTGAAGGACCTTCTATGAGAAGATCATCCTAAGATTTCTTGAGGGCCAATCATTTATTCTCTCCCAGGCTGTCAAAGTAGTTCATATATCCTTCACATATATATCCCGATCATGAGAAGTAATTACCAACTGACTACTTTAGAAAGGCCTCTCTTTCTAGACTGTGACACCCACCACCTTTTTACACTAGCCAAACTACCTAAAAAAGTCTTCATGGGCCAGGAGGTAGTGGTGCACACCTTTAATCCCAGAACTCAGGAGGCAGAAGCAGGCCAGTCTCAGTGAGTTCAAGGCCAGCCTGCCTGGTCTACAAACCAAGTTCCAGGATAGCCAGGACCCACACAGAAAACCTGTCTTGAAAAACTAAAAAAGTCTTCATGGAATAGAAACCCAAAAGTATCTGAATGACTCAGAGAATGAAATAAAATTCCTAAATAAGAATAAAATAAAAAAAGAAATGGAGAGACAAAGTTTAGAGAGAAAAACGTTGGGATGAGGATGACAGTTTTGGGATAGATAGCCGTACTCTGAAGGGTCTGAGAGAGTCATGAATGAACAGTACAGAGGTGGGTGCCCAAAAAACCCTAGAGCTACTCAACACTGTTACTGGCTGTCTGAAAGAGAAACTTACATCATCACACCTCACTGGAGGCTGTTTTGAAGTTGCTGCAGAAGAAACCGCGCCTGAGAGGAGCAAAGCTAGGTCAGACAACATCAGACAGATGCTGCATGTGATTAACTACCTGTTTTAGAAAGTGTCAGGACAGAAGATGAACAAACACTGGGTTAAGCAAATGTGGCCAATCTTGCCTGTTAGTCAGTGGACAGAGTCCTCTGTGGAACCACATGACAAAGGTAGGAGACATGGGAGCATGGGACGGTATGAATGCTTTGGGATTTCTCAGTCCTGAATGTTGTGCCTCCTAGCTAGTATCAACAAGTTAACAGTTGTAAACCAGGACAGGAGTGGTGTGCACAACTGTCAGCTCAACACTTGGAAGATGAAAAGCAGAAGACTGGGAGACCCAGGTCAGCCTACACAGAGAATTCCAGGACAACCTGAGGTACATAAAACCCTGTTTTAAAAACAAAAGTTATAAAAATAAATAAATAAAAACAAAGAAAGGTGGGGTATGGTGGCACACAACTATAACCTCAGACCTTGGGTCAGGGGGTGAGACTGGAATTTCTGTAAATTCAAGTCCTGATCTACATAGAGTTCTAAGCCAGTGAGGGCTGCATAGTGAAACCCTGTGTCAAGCCATCAAACCAAACCATTCCCCAAAACAAACAAGCAAAGCAAAACAAAAAGCAAATGGTATACAGACTGCAGGAGGCAAATTCTAATACAGAAGGGCAGGAAGAGAGCTCTCCAAGGAAGACAGAACACAGGAGAATAAAGAGCCCCTATAGTCCATCTGCTTGTGTTTTGTTTCACCAAACTAAGACAACTCTAGCAGGAGCTTAAAAATCACATCAAGGGGCTGGAGAATGGCTCAGTGGTTAAGAGCATTGCCTGCTATTCCAAAGGTCCTTAGTTCAATTCCCAGCAACCACATGGTGGCTCACAACCATCTGTAATAAGGTCTGGTGCCCTCTTCTGGTCTGCAGGAATACCTGTAGACAAAATACTGTATACATAATAAATAAATATTTTTTAAAAAAAGACTTGTTTGGTAAAAAAAAAAAAAAATCACATCAAGCCAGGTGGTGGTGGAGTTCCAGGGCAGCCAGGCTCCAAAGCTACAGAGGAAACCCTGCCTTGACACCTCCCCCCCCAAAAAGTGCCCCTAATCATATCAAAGCATAATTCTTTTTTTTGTTGTTTTTTTTTGTTTGTTTGTTTGTTTTTCGAGACAGAGTTTCTCTGTGGCTTTGGAGCCTGTCCTGGAAGTAGCTCTGTAGACCAGGCTGGTCTCAAACTCACAGAGATCCGCCTGCCTCTGCCTCCCGAGTGCTGGGATTAAAGGCATGTGCCACCACTGCCTGGCCAAAGCATAATTATTTTAGGCTACTGGTGCCCACAAAACCATGGCAGGTTTGGCTCTCAGAGCACACCCATCTCATTACTCATATTTCCCCTTGGCTGTCTTGGAACTAGCACTGGATTCCTAGGTGTTGGTATTAAAGGCATGCACTGTATCCACCCAGAACTTTTTTCTTTTTAAAAGAAAAGGATTTATTTACTTATGCATTTTGTATATTTGAGTACTTTGTCTATATATATGTTTGCACATCAGAAGACAGCATCAGATTCCATTATAGGCAGTTGTGAGTCCGCATGTACATTCTGAGAACTGAATTTAGGACCCCTGGAAGAGAAGCCAGTGCTCTGAGCCATCTCTTCAGCTCAGACCCACTAGTTTTGAAGCTCACAGTCTCCTTGTGATTCTGATCTTTGCTATTTCACTTTGAGCCACACCAGCCAACACTATTTGGATTCTACATATACTATTATTACTTTGTACTACCTTTTTTTCTTTAAAAAAAAAAATTTATTTATTTATTTATTTATTTATTTATTTATTTATTTATTTATTATGTATACAATGTTCTGTCTCTGTGTATGCCTGCAGGCTAGAAGAGGGCACCAGATCTCATTACAGATGGTTGTGAGCCACCATGTGGTTGCTGGGAATTGAACTCAGGACCTCTGGAAGAGCAGACAGTGCTCTCAACCACTGAGCCATCTCTCCAGCCCTTCATACCACCTTTTTCAGCAGACTATGGAGATCTACCATGCCTAGAGTCGTGGTTCTTGACTCCTTGGGCAACCCAATAACTGTCTTACAGGGATCTCCTAACACCACCAGAAAACATAGATACTTACATTATGATTCAAAACAACAACAAAATTACAGTTATGAAGTAGCAATAAAAACAAGTGTAGCTGGGGGTCACTACAACATGAGGAGTTGCATTAACGGGTCGTAGCATTAAAAAGGTTGAGAACCACTGGCCTACAGGCAGAAATCCAAACTTCATGCTTTGCTACTCAGGGATTTCCTCCACTGGGACTCAGCCTGCCTTTCAATCCCAGGTGCAGAGAAATACTTAACTTTCTTGGCTTTTATAGATACTTACATGTTGAGTCCCATCCTGGGATATAAGTGTAACTTGCTGACTCAACCCAGACTGGGTTACTGTGGCTACCTGTGTAGATACAATGTCCTCTCCTTCTACACCTGTAACATATGTGATCTGGGACCCTTTAAGAACATCATCACCTTGACCTGTTGAAAATAAATGAATAATTTATTTGACCAACAAACCAATTTATTTAGACAACATTAGAGATTCTAACTATGTAACTATGAAACAAAAAAAACTGAATAGAGAGCCAGGCATGGTAGTGCCTGCCTATCATTCTAGCACTTAGGAAGTGGAGGCCGGTCAAGATAGTTCAAGGCCAATCCGGGTCACATAAAACCTTGTCTAAAAACAAAACAAAACAAAACCCAAACCAAAGCCTACTTTTATATTTTAAACCATGAAAATAGTTTTCAAGACCTCTTCTTAATTCTTCTGTCTTCACTTCTGCAAGGCCAAGTCAAAGTGAACCCCATCCATGAACTTTAAATGTTCGATTTGAGGAGGCCTCTCCTTTACACTTAGACGGAATGATCATGTGCCACTGTGCACAGCATACTGGGGACACAAAGGGAGGAATTATACACAAAGACAGACTTGCCGCTCCAGAAGGGCAAGTCTGTACCAAGTTCCTGAAGTCACTTAAGATTCATGAAGGTAATAAAAGGTCTCTATAAACATTAACCACAAAACCAGAATGGCTTGTACACACAATTTACTATCTTAGTCTTTTACACACGTGATTGACAGCAAGCTATTGGTACACAATGACATCACTGTGTAAAGACTATGTAATGGCATGTTATCTCGGCTGAGGTTAATCATTTAATAAGTAACAGAACAGGAACTCCAGTCCAGTTCTTTTTTCACAAAGAATCAGCAAAAGAACCAGGCAGAAATCCTGTCTCAATAACCACCACCCCCACTCCCCAAAAAAGAATCAGAAGTGAAGGATGATTTAACACCCAGAACCGCTAGACTGGGCAATCAGGATTACTGACCTTCCCTTCTCTCAGTACGGGCCAGCTCTCATGGAGCAAAAAAGAAAGTCCCTCTTCAAAGAGAAACTTCATACTCTGCAGTACTAACCTAAGAATACTAGTATATGAAGGATTTTAGTATGCAAATCTATCTAGTGTGTGTTCAGATGGCGATATGAGGTGTAATGTTCTCACATACATTACTTTGTGCCTTTTCTTTTCAGTTGTTTATTATTTTATTCCAAGTGTTACCCGGGGGATCATGTGAGGAAAAGGAGCATAAATCTGTATTTTTAGAAAAGCAATCATAGTTGTTTGTTTGTTTTGAGACAGGGCCTCTCTGTACTGAAACTCACTCTGGAGATCAGGCAGGCCTCGAACTCAGAGATCCACCTGCCTCTGCCTCCCGAGTGCTGGGATTAAAGGCGTGCACCATCACTTGTCCTACATTTAACATTACTAAAGCTTGCTTTCTTCCCAGGTGTATGTGGGTGGTGTGTAGGCATGGAGGCTGACATGAACTCTTCCTTGAGAGCTCTCCACTTTATTTATCAAGGTGGAATCTCTCAATCGAAGCCAGAGTTCACTGATATAGCTAGTCTCTACCTACCTACCTACAGTATATACATCTCAGCAGCTCAGGGAGCCTGTCCTACCTTCTAGGCACTGGAATCACAGGCAGGACTCCACAGCACGTGTGTGGGTTCTGGGCCCTAACTCTGGTCCTCACACCTGCACAGCACTTTTAACAGCTGAGTTATCTCCCCATCCCACAAAGCCTGTTTTTTTTTAATTAAGAGGAATTAGCAGTTACATCTTTCTTGCTTCTTTCAAGTAGAAAGTATGTTATTATTAACATTAGTCAGCACGCTGTACAATGTTTCCAAGACTTACAATTTCCATTGATCCTCCCATTAGCTAGGAGTGGTGGCTCATGCATATAAGCCCAGCATGTGGGAGGCTGTAGCAGGCTAGCCTAGTAACAGTAAAACTCTGCTAGACGTGTGTTTGTGTGTGTGTAAGAAGGGAATGAGAGGAATAAATTGTACACACCCCTGGGTGTCAAAATATTGAACTATACACACGGGGTTTTGGCTAGAAAGCAATATGGAGACAATTAAGTGATGAAGTTTCTCTATCAACAACTTTTGTTTTTATTTTTTGAGACAGGGTTTCTCTGTGTGTCTCTGGCTGCACTGGAGCTCACCTTGTAGACCAGGCTGGCCTTGAACTCAAGCGATCTGCCTGCCTCTGCCTCCGGAGTGCTGGGATTAAAGGTGTGCGTCATCACTGCCCAGTCCTATGTAACTTTTTAAACTTAAATGTTTCTGAACATTTCGCTGCAGTGTTGCGAATGAGAGAAGAAGTCTCCGCTCTTCCCAGGCAGAACTGCCATACTGCTCAGGCTTCTTCCAAAGTCTCAACTTGCTTTCCTCTCACCAAGGACTTAGCCTTTTCCTTTGCCATCTGTCTGCAAGTCCCCTTGCCTTAGATCTCTTCCCTTCCCTTCCCCCAGGCCTTGCTTCTTTGCTCCCTTAACCCCATGCACCCTCAGAATCGTTCCAAGAACACTTCTTCAGGAAGCTTCTCTCCTCTTGGGAGATACCAAGTCCCCCTTCCACAACCTGGAGCCCCCATGCCCTTCCACAGCACTCGCCACAGCTGTAAATCCGGTGTGTGATCACACAAATGAAACAGAAGCATGGCTCATATGCTCATAACTGATTCTCAAATTCAAAACAGATACAACTGTCAAAGTTCTCACCTGGGGGAGGCTCGAAGAAGGCTTCCTGCTCCTCCTCAATGGGCTCTGTGTCATTGTGAGCTGTCCGTTTGTGCATAGCCAGCGTGGAGATCTGTTTGTATGTCTTCCCACAGTGGTTACAGTTGTATGGTTTCGAGTGAGTATGAACGACATGGTGTTTATACAAACTGGAATATTCTGTAAACCTTTTGTCACAACCAGGAACTGTACAGACATATGGCTTTTCTCCTAAGAGAAGAAGAAGATACACAAAAAGGTCATTTTTACAGAGATACTTACTCCACAACTGGAAAGTGGGACTTCTAAAATAAACAGCCAAGTTATCTGTCACTATATAACTCATTGTTAGAGCGCTTGACCCAGAGTTCAGCTTCCAGCACCGGGGAGGTATTTGTGAGGGGTGTCCCTTTTCATCTTAAAATGAAATAGCACACTAGAAAAAATTCCCTATGGTTTGACTCAGCTCAAAAACAGCCATAGTCCCACACACAACCATAGTCCCAGCACTTAGGAGGCAGAGGCAGGTGGATCTCTGTGAGTTCTAGGCCAGCCAGGTCTATATAGCAAATTCCAAGTCAGTGTGGGTGCAGTGTGATATATGTACCACCAGGCCTGACTCCATTTCTTACTGAATCTGGAACTCGATTATTTGACCAGATTGGCTGAACTTCTGTCTTTGTCTCCCAGAGATAAAATACAGGTACATTGTGATGTTCAGCTTTTCTGCGGGTGCAAGGGATCAGAACTCAGATCCTCATGCTTGCGTGGCAAGTGTTTATCAAGTGAAGTGTTTCTACACCCCGTTACAGAATCTGTACTGTAGCATTTGACTGATGCTTTCGGTTTTGGGCTAGGTGCCAGGAAGCATTAGAAACTAGTCCTTAACTCTTCTTATGAATTAAGAAAATAAGTGTATATGTGTGTCTCTGTGTGTGTGTGTGTGTGTGTGTGTGTGTGTGTGCACAGGTACCCAAAGCAGTCAAGAGAGGCATCAGATCCCCTTGTGCCAGGCTGTCAGGCTGTCTGGTTAGAGAGATGGCTCGGCCTTTAGAGGCTAGGCTCACAACCCAAAACATAAGAGTTACAGGCAGGAGTAACCACCTGACACCATGTGTGTTAGAAACCAAACTCAGATCCTCTGCAGGAGCAGTACCTGCTCTTAACTGCTGAGCCATATCTTCAGCCCTTTATAAATTAAAAACAAACAAAGACAACAAAGGTTTTCTTTGTGTGTGTGAGACAGGGTTTTTCTATGTAGCCCTGGCTGTCCTAGAACTTGGTATGTACACCAGACTAGCCTCTAATTCAGAGATCCACCCGCCTCTGCCTCCTGAGTGTTGGTATTAAAGGCATGTACTACTAAGCCCAGCTATTTATTTAATTTTATGTGCATGGGTATTTTTATTTTTCTTGCTCATCTATTGTGTTTTTCATACACACACACACACACACACACACACACACACACACACACACACACACACGTCCATGTACCAATGGTGTGCAGTGCCCAAGGCGACCAAGAGGGCATAATTTTCTCTAAAAGTGGAATTACAGATGGTTTTAAGCTCTCATGTGGGTTCTGGAAAGCAGCAGTGCTTTTAACTACTAAGCCATCTCTCCAGCCTATTTTTGTAAACTTTTAAAAATTATATTCACAGACTGGAGAGACGGCTCAGAGGTTGAGAGCACTGGCAGACGATGCCTGACAGGAAATGGCTGCCAATCACCACTTGGCGCAGCAGTCCCGCTGTCTAGGCTGAAGCAGGAACACCAACACTAGGTGGCACCAAACAGTCAAAAAGGGAACAGACTGGGCTGGAAGCTTTTTCTTTTTTCAGGGGGCGTTGGGTGTGTGTCTTTGTTTTTAAGTGTCCATGTAGCTTAGGCTGGCCTCACACTCATTATATAGCCAAAGATGCCGCTGAACTTCTGATCCTGCTCTCTCCCTCTGTCAAGCGCTGGGATTACGGGTGTGCAGCAGCATTCCTCCTTCACAAGCTTCTGAGTTCCTACTGTTGGCTGTACCGACTTACCTGATCAGCCTTCTTCCTTTCTTTGTGTAGTGCCTGGATCAAAAACAGACCCTTACATGTGCAAGCACTCAAGCACTGAGACAGTTACATGCCTGCCTCTGGCTCTGCCTTCCCAGTACTGGGGAAAAAGGCATGTACCACCACCTATGTTGGCTCATTAAAGAAATTTTGAAGCTGCTAATCTCGTCTCACTATGTGAACAGGGAGTGATGGGGAAGTTCAGCCAATCACATTTTCTTTAGGGTGTGTCCCCCTGAGGCCAAGAAAAAAAGCTAACAACACCCAGGCGCCCTTGCCAGCTCTCTTTGTTCTCTGCGCTCCTGGTGTTCCCTGGACCCCTGGTTGTGTGTGTTTCCCTTTTTTCCATTTATTAAAACTAAATCTATTATATTGAGCTGGTCTGGTTAATTTTAGCTTATCGATCGACTGCACACATCATGGGAGGAAGAGACTAGTTGGAAGCCTTGAAAGACAGGGTCAAGACATCAGCAACCATTACCTGTGTGTATCCTCACATGGTTTTTATAATTCGTTGCGCTAGCAAATGCCCTCCCACATCCTGGTTCTGTGCAGTAGTATGGTCGTTCTCCTGTGTGCGTCCTAATATGCACTTTTCTGATATTTGATGTTGTAAAGGACCGACCACAGCCTTCAATAGGACACTTAAAGGGCCTTTCTCCTGAAGATACAAAAGGAAATAAATTAAACGGTGCAGGAAATAAAATACATAGAGAATGGAAATGTCTCATCACGTGGTTCTGCCCAGTGCCTTGCCGCAGTCTGCTTGCTCTGAATTTCCCTTCTAAGCTCTGTTGTGTCTCTGGAGCATGCTTCTTCCACTCCAAACTTGGGCTGACACAAGAAAACTGAATGGCATGCAACATTCATCAGTGACTGTGACTTTACAAGCTATAACCATCAAGTGGGCATACTGAAAACTGAGCTGAGGAAAGCATAGACCACGTCAGAGAAAAGATAAAAGAAAAACAGAGTAAGGACTAAGGTTCAGCAAGATGTCTCCATGGGCATAAATGCTTGTTGCCAAAACAAACTGCCTGAGTGGCATCCCTGGAACCTAAAGGATAGAAGAATAATCAATTCCTGAAAACAATTCGGCCTGCATCGTGTGCTATGGTGCATACATACATATATATAATATATATTATATATATATATATAGTATAATACAACTTAATTTAAAAAAAGAATTAAGTTCAAATTATAGGATTTCCTAATGCTTATTTCTTATTTATTCTATAATACCACAAAGAAAAATAGTTTCTGGGGTTGTGAGATGGCTCGGTAGGTGGTAGCTAAAACACGTGCTATCAACTTTACTAACAGTTTGACTTCTATCCCTGAGAACTACAGAGGAGAAAGTGAGAGCCAACTTCTGTAGGCTGTCTTCTAACCTCCACGTACACAGCATAGTGGATGCACCCATATTTGTTTAATAGCAATTTAAAAAAATTTGCTATTTCTTTAATCTAGTACCTCCCACAAAACACATCAAAATATCTACATATGTATATTTATTTATATTATTTATTAGAGAGAATTGTTTTTTCTTTTTTTGGTTTTTCCAGGCAGGGTTTCTCTGTGTAGCCCTGGCTATCCTGGAATTAGTTCTGTAGACCAGACTACTCTGTAACTCAGAGACCCGCCTGCCTCTGCCTCCACTTACTGGAACTACCATACTTGACATTGGATATTTCCTTTAGCAGCAGGAGAGGAATTCTGCACCTTAGGGTCTGTTTGCAATTCAGCTACTTATCAAGTGTGCAATCCAGGAAAACAAGCTTGTCGTTCAGATAATTTCTGAAAGCCGAAAGGGCTGTGATCTAGGGCTACCATCGCATTTCTGGGACGCCACCTTGGAAAGAGGTACACATGCACAAACAGCAAACTGGATGAAAAATTTTTTCACAGACACCATCCTCACCCCCACAGATTAAGAATACCTGGTTTAGTCTAATAGTACTAGCTTGTAATTCCAGAACTGAAGAAACTGATGGAGAAGCATCACAAATCCAACATCAGCCTGAGCTCCAGTCAAAAAAGCCTGGTCTAGCTGTGCTGCTCTGTTTGTACTGGTACCTGTGTGGGTTCTGATGTGCTTCTGTAGATCTCCTGAAGTTTTGAAAGATTTTGTACAATTATCTTCTGAACACCGATATGGCTTTTCTCCAGTATGAGTTCTGAAATGACTTTTTAATCCATAACCTTTAAAAAAAAATTAAAAGAAACTTAATGCCAGGCAGTGGTGGCACACACCTTTAATACCAGTGAAAGACCCACAGAGAGGACCTTCCCTCAGGAGGAGACCCCCAAACTTAAGGAACAATCCGAGATCACTGGCTGTAAACTGCAAGAGGTTTTTTTATTGAGAGTACACAGGTACCTGTGGTGTCAGTCTCTTTGGAAGACTTGCATGCCCTCAGGCTGGGCAGGGGGTCTTTTATATGGAAACGGGCGGGCGGCAGAAGCATGCATGGTTACAGGGATTCCATTGGTCAGTTTGGATGGGGCGATGGGTTCACTTGGGGACAAGCTCCTCGGGGACACGAAGATATGATAATAATAGCTGACTTGGCCCTATCTAGGGCACATGTAGTTTTTCCCAGAACTGTCCGTTCCCCTCCTAGGCCTAGTGTCTGACCACAGATATACTGTTTTGGCCGCCTAGAAGTACCGATTTTACCTTGAACTTACACTTGTTTGTGTGAAAGCCTTGCAAAATGGCATTACAGGAGCTAAACTGAGGTCTTTCACCAGCACTCAGGAGGCAGAGGCAGGAGGATCTATGTAAGTTTTAGGTCAGCCTGGTCAACAGAGTGAGTTCCTGGACAACCAGGGTTACTCAAAGAAATGTGGTCTCAAAAAAATAAAAAAGAAGAGAAAAAGAAATTTATCAATACAATACTCTTCTAAACAAATATTAGGAGATTAACTTACAGAAATATAAAGCAAATAACCAGGATAAAATACTAGCTATATACAAGAGGATGACTTTTAAAAATACATGGGACAAGTTAGGGTGGTAGCTCACAACTCTAATTCCCAGAATGTGGGAAGCTGACACAGGAGGACTGTCATCAATCTGAGGCAAGTCTGGGATACCACGTGAGATGACGCCTCAAAACACAGACAAACTAGGGGCTGGAAAGATTGTTTAGCAGTTAAGAGCACTGGCTGCTCTCCCAGAGGTCCTGAGTTCAGTTCTCAGCATGGTGGCTCACAATCATCTATAATGAGATCTGGTGCCCTCTTCTGGCCTGTAGGCATACAGAACACTGTATAATAAATAAATAAACAAACAAATAAATAAATAAATATTAAAAAAAACAAAAGCTAATAAACTAATCAGCGAAACCCTAATGTTAAAAAAGGATGGGGCTCGGGCTGGAGAGATGGTTCAGTGGTTAAGAGCATTGCCTACTCTTCTGAAGGTCCTGAGTTCAATTCCCGGCAACCACATGGTGGCTCACAACCATCTGTAATGAGGTCTGGTGCCCTCTTCTGGCCTGCAGACATACACACAGACAGAATATTGTATACATAATAAACAAAAATTAAAAAATAAAAAAAAAAAAGGATGGGGCTCGAGAGCCGGCTCAGTGATTCAGGGCACTTGTTCTTGTAGAGGATCTGGGCTGGAGTCCCAGCACCTCCATGACAGCTCAGTTCTGCGGGTCTCTAGACCTGTACTAATTACATCTTAAGTCAGCATTTTATGGTGGAGTGGGGGTGGGGGAGGGGGAGGGATGGGCAGGGTCTTACTATGTAGCTTTGGCTGGCCTGGAACACATTAGATAGACCAGTCTGGGCTCAAACTCAGAGATCTGCCTGCCTCTGCCTCCTCAGTGCTGGGATTAAAATTGTCTACTGGCATATTTGGCTTTTAACACACGGCTTTTATTTTTCCTGGTAGAAGAAAATAGAGGATGGAATGAGTAACAGTAAATATGTAGTCAGAGCGAGATCTCTGGAGAAAAATGGTAACACAGAGGAGGTCCAGAGCGAGCAGGACAAGAGGCAGTTAGGAAAGACGATGAAGGGTTGAACAGACACTCATCAGTTCAGACTGCCTACATACGCTGGAGCAGAGGACAGAGGTTTGGGTTCCCAGCACTGGCATCATGTGGCTCACAACTGCCTCTAACTCCAGTTCCAGGGGATCTAATCACCTCTTTTGGCTTATAGAGGCACCTGCACATACATGGTACACATAAATTCATGCAGGAACAGAAGTAAAAAACTGATCATGTGCTTCCGTGGTTTCAGAAAACAGAAGGGGTTCTGCCCCTGGCTTGCCCTGGGCAATGCCCCATTGAACTAAGAAGCAAAGAAAATTTATGTTTTTACCTGTCGCAAATGCTTTCCCACAGCCTGAATGCTCACACTGATAAGGCCGGTCTCCTGTGTGCGAGCGCTCATGGACCTGTTATTAAAACACAAACAAGATTCTGTTCCCTTTATGTGTTCTATGAGTAAGATGTTCTCAAGTTCAATCTTACTTTTCCTCTTACTTTGTTTTATGCGTTTCCCTCCTTCTTCTCTTTTACAGTATTGGGCATTGAACCCTGGACCTCAGATATGAGGTGCAACAGCTATCACTGAGCTATATCACTATTGTATATTTTAAAAAAACAAAACAAAACAAAAAAGTAAAAAAAACCCTTTTCCACAAAAATTATACCCAGTAATTCTCAATGCACACCCATATGTTACACAGAAACAAGGCCTCTTAAAATGAGAAACGGTAGCATTTGAGTGCTTTTGGAGTGGTCACAGGAACTCCTAAGACACACATGCATGATGAGAATGAGGAAGAGAGCATCAGGCTTCTCAAAGGGAACAGCGGCATGCAACCTGTGCTAGAAAGTCATGAATCTGAAATCGAAAGCAAGGCTACACTACAGCCTAGAGGAGTGGTCTTGGGTACCCGTTTTTCTCTCTGTCTCTGTCTCTGTCTCTCTCATCCCCTCTAATTACGTATCTACTCTCTCTATCTGAGTTGGGGTCTCATGCATTCCACGATGGTCTCACTCTACTTGTCTACGCTAAGTAGACAAGGATGACCTGTGCTCTTGATCTTTCTGAGTACTGGGATCACAGGTGTGCACCACCATGCCCAGTTTATGGGTGCTAGAGATAGATCTTATTCATGCTAGTCAAGCACCCTTCTGTTGAGTGCAAAGATGTGTTATATTTGTTTTATTATGTAAAGGTGTGTTGCTATTTTACCTTGCCTGCTTCTGATTGGTCTAATTAAAAGGTGAATGGCCAATACCAAGGGAGGAGGTATAGGCAGAACTTCCAGGCAGGGAGAGTAAACAGGAAGAGAAATTGAGGCTTAAGGAAGAAAGAAAAGGATACAACAGGGAGATTCCAGGGCCAGCGAGTAGCCAGATACAGAGGAAGCAGAAAAGTAGGGCATAAAAGAAAGGTAAAAAGCCCCTTGGGGCTGAAGAGATAGTTCAGCGGCTAAGAGTACTGCCTGCTGTTCCAGAGGTCCTGAGTTCAATTCCCAGCAACCACATGGTGGCTCACACCCATCTGTAGTAAGATCTGGTGCCCTCTTCAGACCTGCAGAACACTATATATAATGAATAAATAAATCTTAAAAAAAAAAAAGTCCCAAGGCAAAACATAGATGATTAGAAATGGGTTAAACTAAGTTAAAGAGCTAGTGGGACAAACCTAAGCTAAGGCGAGCATTCATAATAAGTCTCTGTGCCTTTGTGTGCTGGTTGGTAGTCCAAAGAAAATTCTAACTACACTCTATTAACTGAGCCACAATCTCCAACTCTGTGCCTGCCTTTCTAAGCCTCAAGATCCTCTCTGTAAAGTGAAATAAAATATGAGTACTTATGGTAATGCCCAGCATGCCCCGGAACTTTAATGGACTCATTCTTTTTAGTGACTTATAAGAACAGTGTTAACTTGTTTAATTTTCACATCATTTCTGTAAGACAGTGATAAGTTACAGACAGGGTCTCATCAGTCCCATCCTGGATTTGCAGTGAGGGTGACCGTAATCTTCTGAGGCACCTGTCTCCACCCCTCGAGCATTGATTAAGAGCATGTGCCACCATGACCAGTTTATGTGGGGCTGGAGAATAAACCCAGGACCCAGCAAGTACTCTAGTGAGCGAGTGACATTCCCAGCCTGAGATAACCAGTTTTTGTTTTTGTTTTTTAAGACAGGGTTCTGGTTGTCCTGGAACTTTATTTATAGACCAGGTTGGCCTCAAAGTCATAGAAGTCTGCCTGGCTCTGCCTTCTGAATGCTGGGTTTAAAGGTATATGCCACCATTGCCAGGCAAACAGCTTTACAGATAGGAAAATTAGGTACCAAGAGGTCACTTAACATGCTAAAGTCACATTAATAAGTACAAGATCACTGCTTTAAGGCCACTGTTCCAAATATATACTTCCTTATACAAGGTAAGTTACTCACTAAATCTGAACTGTTTGTTAAAAATCATGGCATAGTTTTTTGTGTTTTGTTGCAATTAAAATAAAAATATTGAGGCTTGGTGTAATGAGAGGGCCAGGGAGCCAGACCAGAACCGTGACAGATTCTGTTAGCAGCCCTCCCAGAGACTAGGCCTTAGTTGAGCAAGTAATTTTCAGGAAAACTACAACTCAAGAGCAACCAATCAGCAGGCACCCCACAGCCTTCTGCTAGCTCAGCAGATGCCCCATAGACTCTTGGTAGCTAAAGACAGATTTTCCTACCCTGTTGCTGGAAAGTCCTTAACCACTAGGAACACCCACCAATACTAGTACCTCATACTAATCTCTCCTCACTGGGATTCCCCTAACCCAGCTTTAAAGGGCCCAAGAGCCTCTTGTCACCGCCATTTGCCACCCAACACACTGGCAGTTTGGGTTTTTTAATAAACACTCTTGCTGACTGCAAATGTGACTAGTGGTCTTTTAGGGGACTTCTCACGGGCCCTGACAGTAGTAGCATACACCTTAAAAATAGCCCTCCAGTGAATTAATATTGCTGGGTGTGGTGGCATATGCCTACAACCCCAGAAATTTGAGGGTAGAGGAGGACGGATAGAACTTGAAGGTCAATCTGAGCTACACAGTGAGACGCTGTCTCAAAAAACCAAGGGCTGGAGACATAGGACAATGGTAGAACACTGGCCTAGCAAATGTAAGACCCTGGACTCTTTTTTTGTTTCATTGTGGGGACAGGGTTTCTCTGTGTAAAAGCCTAGCAATCCTGGAACTCACTTTTGTAAACCTGGCTAGCCTTGAACTCACAGAGATCCACCTGCCTCTGCCGCACAATGGCTGGGATTAAAGGTGTGCACCCCAACAGGCAAGATGCTGAATTCTCAGAAAAAGATAAATAAGCAATGAGAATGCTTGGGTCGATATTTGTGAAGTGGGATAGTCTTTTCCTCCCTCCATGCTGAGGACTGAACCCAATAGACAACTGCTCTATCACTGAGCCACATCACCAACTGCAGGTTAACACCAACTGCTGCCAGACTGCACTGAATCACTGCCACTGTAGTGACGAAACAGACTCTGGAAGCAGAGGTAGACGGATCTCTGTGAGTTCGAGGCCAGCCTGATCTCCATGGTGAGTTCAAGGACAGCAAGGGCTGTATAGAGAAACCCTATCTCAAAAAGAAAGAAGAAAGAAAGAAAGAAAGAAAGAAAGAAAGAAAGAAAGAAAATTATGTAAGTTCCATAAATGAAATGTACTAACTATATTGAATTTAATATATAGTTTCTGCCAGGAAATATGCGGGAATTAGGGATACAGAGATAAATCATCCAAGTTATCAGAGAACAGACATTTGCTGAGTCTGTCCATGTTCTTGTGTGTCTTAGTGTGAGTGTGTGTCAATAACTTTTGAATGTTATTCAAAAGTGCAGTGCAGGCCATAGTGTGCTTGTGACTAGCTACTTCTCTCTTAGGTACCTTAAGATGATGAGCTGTTGTATAGAGTTTTCCACATCCATCGTATTTACACCGAAATGCCTTTTCTCCACTCTGTTGAGATTTAGGAGTTACTCTTGTAGCATGTCCTTGTAAGACAATCTAGAAAAAAAATACAACTTATGTACTTATACAGAAATACAGTAGATGAAATTACTGTTTTCACAATAAACAGAAAGAGAAACTGGGAGGAAGAATCTAGACTCATGGATTCTCCAGGCAGACTCGGAGAGGAAATGGGAGGCACAAGATGGAAGAAAGAACACCACGTGCTAGAACGTAGATGTCGTATTTTGTGAGCTGGCAGCCCAAAGAAAAATCCGACTATAAAAACCATAAAACCATGTTATAAGCTATAAATCAGTATCATTTTACTAGCACCTAGCCCTTCAAACTCCAAAGACTCACTCCATTCAAGGCTGAAGTCAGTGCTCTGGAACAGCCAAAGGGGCCCTCTCAGGGCACAGCTGGAGCTCAAGATCCATTTCCACCTAGAAAACCTCCAGCATGCACGTCACTCTTGTGACACATGCCTGACGTCCCAGAATTTAGGATGCTGAGGCAGGAGGATCATGAGATTAAGGCTGAGCTTTATAGTGAGAATCTACCCAAAAATACCCAAAGTAAGTAAAACTTCCATTCCATTGTACCTTGCTATTTCTTGACATACTCAAGGGATCCATCTCAACAGTCATACTTTTTTTTTTTAAAGGAAATGGAATCTTAAGACAATGTCAAGCAATGACAAAGAGTCATTTGAATCCCTTATAAGAGATAGAATCCATGTGATACTAATCTACACTTAGATTCAGCAGAGAGTCATTTTTCTGGATGCCAAACCATAAAAATTTAAACAACAGCACTTCCTTTAAGGTATTTCTTTGTAAGATGACGATTTCAGAAACTTTGACACCAAGGATTAGATCTTGCCTAACAAGTATGAGCCCTAAGTTCAATCCTTAGTACTGCCAACAAAACAAAACAAACCCCAAAAATTCTAAAACCATAAAAATTGCAAATAACGACCAGAGGAGCCAAGTTCAATTCCCATCATGTCAGGCAGTTCATAACCACCTTTAACTTCAACTCCAAATAAACCACATACCCCTAAGCTACATGGGCACCAGTGCTCATAGGTACCTGCATACAGACATCTACATGTGCAAGTACATACATGCACGCACACGCACACACAACCAATTTAAAAAAATAATTAAAAAAAACCTTTAACACGACTCAGCTCTACATACCTGCATCTTTTTGTCTTGCTCATTTTCTCCAATCAGTCCTGTACTTGTTACACTTTCACTCCCATCAATGGACACCTAAAAGAATAAAAGAAAGCTTTAAAAGGCTTAATTTATTTATTTGCAGTGCTGGGGATTGAACCTAAGACCTCACACACATTAGACAAGCAACGTAGAGCCATACCTCCAGCCCCAGGTTTTTTATTTTGATAATGGTTTAGGCTGGATCACATGCAGAGATTTCTCTGTGTAACAGTCCTAACTGTCCTGGAACTAGCTCTTGTAGACCAGGCTGGCCTCGAACTCACAGAGATCCGCCTGCCTCTGCCTCCCAAGTACTGGGATTAAAGGCGTTGCGCCACCACCGCCTGGCCACAAGTGTTCTTAACTGAGCCATCTCACCAGACCTCTTTCTGAATTTAATTGTCGTCGAGACAGGATCTCACTATGCAGCCCAAGTTTGTCTTTGAACCTGTGATCACCTATAAGCATGCACTATATTCCTGGCATTCACTTATTTGAAAATAAATGTTGAATTCTTTAGTACTGACACATATTTTTTTTTAATTGCTAGCTGCTGCTTTTGCTTTATTTTATTTTAAAATATTTTATTTATTATGTATACAGTATACTGTCTGTATGTCTGCAGGCCAGAAGAGGGCGCTAGATGCATTACAGATGGTTGTGAGCCACCACGTGGTTGCAGGGAATTGAACTCAGGACCTCAGGAGGAGCAGACAGTGCTCTTAACCTCTGAGCCATCCCTCCAGTCCACTTCTTTTTTTAACAATTTATTTATTTTTATTTTATGTGCATCGTGTCTTGCCTAAAAGTATGTCTCTTTGAGGGTATCAGATCTTGGGAGTTACAGATAGTTAGCTGTCATGTGGGTGCTGGGAATTGAACCCAGGTCCTCTGGAAAGGCAGGCAGTGCTCTAAACTGCTGAGTCTTCTCCCCAGTACTGCTTCTTCTTTTTGGTGGTGTTTTGTTGTTTTTTTTGTGTTTGAGACACGGTCTCACTATCCCAGACTGGCCTTCAACTTGTTAGGTAGTTGAGGATGACAATATCCCTCCACTCGACCTCTCAAGTGCTGGAACTGTAGGTGAGTGCCACCAGTGCTAGTGCCGACTCAGGGTTTTGTGCATGTCACAGCAAACACTCCAACAACTAAATACACCGTGGCCAGGATGGTACTGAAGTTGCAAAATGCCATACCTTTGCTGCATACTGCTCCAAAGCACTAATGGTATCTGGATCAATTGTGGCGTCCCCAGTGTGCAGCCCTGCCACTGTCCCATCAGCCTGAATTGCCAAGATGGTATCAGACTGTGGGACTTGCACCGCATGGTGGATGTAAGCTGTTGTGCCATCTTCCAGCTGAACTGCCTGAAGTGAGCTCTGGTCATAACTATCTGGGGGATGGGAAAGACAGGCATTACATTAAAAGTATCACAGTAGTCCAACAACCCTCTCAGCTTTCCCTGTGTCAGTCACTAATCCATAAAAATGCTTTCTACCATGGACCCACAGTGGCCAAGACTGGGCTAAGATGTAGGTAGGTGATTTTACTGTCCTTCCTGTACCCCATTCTGATCTCTTACTCTTCCCCCTACTGCAGACTGCCTATAGGAGTCGCTCCTCCCCGCCATCTCCATTCCCTGGGGATTCTGCCTCCTGGTGCAGATCTAGGGCCTCCCTAGCTCTTTCATTCATATTTCTTTAGCCGTATTCTTTCTCTTATGTGCAGGAGCCCCTCCTCCCACTCTACCTTTACTCTCTAGGAGCTCTGCCTCTTGGTGCAGGTCCTAGTCCCCCTTGCTCTTTCTCAGGACTGTATCAGCCTTTCTTCCTAGCCTGTCTCCAATCCTTTGTGGCACTGGTCCACCCACAGAAGCACTCTCCACTAGGACCCCATTGCTACCACTCTTGCATAAGACCCAGAGAGTGCAACAGCTACCAAAGAATGGGACACCCACCTAACAAAGACAAGACCAGATGTTCACACCAAAACACCTCAAATATCATAGCTCCAGATGCCTAGATCCAGCACAAAAATACAAACAGCCAGAAGCCAGTAACACCTATTGCAACAGACCCCAAGAAATGCAATTTAGCTGAAGCACACACAAAACAAAGACTTTGGCTAAGAGGTGGTGGCACATGCCTTTAATCAAGAGTACTTGGGAGGCAGAGGCAGGCGGATCTCTGTGAATTTAAAGCCAGCCTGGCCTACAGAGTGAATTCCTGGACAGCCAGGGTTACACAGGAAATCTGTCTCGAAAACAAACAAACGAACAAACAAAAAAACCAAACAACAAAAAAAATCAAAGACATCAAAATAGCAATTATGAATATGTTCAAGGACCTTAAAGAAGATATGAATAAATGCCTTAATGAAGACTCTGAAAACACAAACAGCTGAATGAAATAATGAAAACAGTTCAAGATATGAAAATACAAATAGAATTTATTTTTAATAAATCATAGAGTTGGGCAGTGGTGGTGAAGCCTTTAATCCCAGCACTTGGAAGGCAGAGGAAGGCATATCTCTGAGTTCAAGGCCAGCCTAACCTTCAGAGCAAGTTTCAGGACAGCCAGGGCTACACAGAGAAACCCTGTCTCAAAGGGAGAAAAAGAAAAAGAAAAAGAAACTTCCCCAGTCTAAAGAAGGATGCACCTATAAAGGTATAAGAAGCACACATCGGGCAGTGGTGGTGCATGCCTTTAATCCCAGCACTCGGGAGGTAGAGGCAGGTGGATTTCTGTTAGTTCGAGGCCAGCTGGTCTTTTAGAGCTAATTCCAGGCCTCAAAGCTACAGAGAAACCCTGTCTCGAAAAACCAAAACCAACAAACAAAAAAGGCAGTAAACACCAAATAGGACCAGAAAAGAAATTCCCTATGTCACATAATAAAACACTAAACATACAGAACAAAGAATATTAAAACCTGCAAGGGAAAAAGACCAAGTCAAATATAAAGACAGGCCTATTAGAATAATGGAGACTCTAGAAGTCAGAAGGGCCCAGGCAGATGCTCTACAAACTCTGTGAGATCACAGGTGCCCAGAACTACTATACCCAGCAACACTACCAATCACAATTGGAGAAAAAAACCACAATAAAATAAAAATAAAGTAATATCCATCTACCAACCCAGTTTTACAGAAGGCACAAGAAAGAAAAGGGAAGGAAGGGAGGGAGGGAAGGAAGGAGGGAGGGAGGGAGAGAAAACAGGATCCATCTTTCCGCTACATCCAAGAAATATACTTCACCATCAAAGTCAAACAAACATTGTCTCGGGGTAAATGGATGGATGGATACTCCAAACAATTAGACTAAGAAGCAAGCAGGTATAGCCATCATTTAATAACAAAGTAGACTCTAAACCAAAACTAACCGGAAAAGATAGGGAAGTATAGAAGGACACATACTCATAAAGGAAAAATCCACCAAGACGATATTGCAATTGTAAACACTTCTGCACCAAATACACAGGTGCCCAAGTTCATAAAAGAAACACTATGACACATACTGAACCCACAGAGAAATGCTGGCGTTAAATGTTATAAGTCAAACAGACCTAACAGAACATTCTACCGAAACACTTAAGAATACACTTTCTTCACAGCAGCTATGAAACTTTCTGCAAAATTGATCACACACTTGAACAAAAGCAAGTCTCAACACACATAAGAAAATTGAAATAACTCCCTGCGTTCTATCTGACAATCATGGATTAAAGCTGGATTATCAACAACAGAAACAGTAGAAAGTCTATAAATTTATGAAAATTGAACAATTCACTACTGAATGAAAAATGGGTCAAGACATATCAAGAAGAAAATGAAAAACTTTTTAGAACTGAAAGAGAATGAAAACACAACATATCCAAACTTATGGGACACAATGAAGGTGATTCTAAAGAGCAAGTTCACAGCACTAAGTGCCTACATAAAAAATGGGAGAGTTCTCATAGTCTTCTCCATCAGAAAGAAATGTGGTTTACAAAGGGCAAAGGAGCAGAGCTGAAGTGAAAGACTCTTCAAATCAAGGGACTAGATTGTGACACACACACAGAAGCATCATTTTATATTTAAAGCAAAAGAGAAATGAATTTTTTTTGAGTAGTTACTATGAGCATTGTACTATGCAATTTATTTACTTTTGTTTTGTCTGTAGCCTAGGCTATCCTGGTACCCACTATGGAGGCAACACTATGTTTAAAGGTACAGTGATCTTCCTGTTGCTGTTTCCCAAATGCTCGGATTACAGGCATAGGCTCCCATATCTATATTGACTATATCTTATACTCATTTAATCTGTACAGAAGTATTGTGAGGCAGAATTCACCACCTCTACTGTATAGATAGGAACCTGAGGTTTGGGACATTAAAGTCACTTTCCTTAGGAACACTTAAAAACAGGGGAAGGAGCTCAATATTTACTGTAACATTTAACCTAAAAGAATAACATACTCAGGGGCTGAAGAGATGGCTCAGAGGTTAAGAGCACTGCCTGCTCTTCCAAAGGTCCTGAGTTCAATTCCCAGCAACCACATGGTGGCTCACAACCATCTGTGATGAGGTCTGGTGCCCTCTTCTGGCCTGCAGGCATATACACAGACAGAATATTGTATGCATAATAAATAAATAAATATTAAAAAAAAAAAAGAATAACATACTCATTTTGAGTACAAATAGGGAAACCAAACTTTGGACTCATGTCAGTTCCTGGTACTCAAACAGCTGGCTCCAGTCTGCTCTCTGCTGTGATAAGCTGTTCCTGGACAGCTCAAACTGCCACACGGTTCTTACTTAAACAACACCCCGACCAGCTGCTTTGTACGTCAAGGAATAAACAGTTGTTTCCCATGGACAACACTCACAGCCCAAGACAGTTCTTCTGTTCCCCACACACCCACGGAACTATCGTACCTTTAGAAGTATGGTGGATAAACGCAGTCGTTCCGTCTTCTAGCTGCACGGCTTGTCCATCCTCCAGCCGCAAACTGTCCCCTGCTCAAGAGCAATGCTTACATTTAGAGCCCCATTTTCAGCGTGTTCTAGCTAAGTCACACAGCAGCAGCAGAGTCAGACTAACGCATCTACCTGCTCTAGGAGTCACTGGACATTTAGTAATCTCAGTAAAGCTGCTTCGAGAAACTATTTCAAGGAAAAGGACATTTCGAGACTTGTTTTAAGAATATACTCCAGGAGCCGGGCGATGGTGGCGCACGCCTTTAATCCCAGCACTCGGGAGGCAGAGGCAGGCGGATCTCTGTGAGTTCGAGACCACCCTGGTCTACAGAGCTAGTTCCAGGACAGGCTCCAAAGCCACAGAGAAACCCTGTCTCGAAAAACCAAAAAAAAAAAAAAAAAAAAAAAAGAAGAATATACTCCAGGGATGAGGAGAATTGAAAGGAGAATAAAAGAAAATGAGTGACGTGGGATTCGGCTCCAACATAGCCATATTTCCCTAGGGTTGCAGTCTACCAATCTCCCGGGTTCAGCGCAGCAATGTCTCTGTCATTATCTTTTAGAGGAGTCTTGGTTAAGTTTGATCCTCAGTCTGGTATCTATTGACCTTTCTTCTGAAAAAGACTAGAAATCAGACCAAATTTAGGTAGTAAGACACGCTGGAGGCAGCAAGTTCTGAAGTCTGAGAGTCAGGGCAGGTTTTTGTGTGCTTGCTTATCTATCTATCTATCTATCTATCTATCTATCTATCTATCTATGAAATGGTCTCATTGTATAACCCTGGATACCCTGCACTACATAGACCTGCCTGCCCACACTGAGTACTAGAATTAAAAGCATGTGCTACCATGCCTGGCTGTTGTGTCTTAAATACTTACTACTTTTAGGTATAGGGACATGTTGAACATAGGCAGCAGAACCATCTTCCAACTGAATGACCTGGCCATCAATGAGTCTCCCATCTAGAATAAAATATTCAAGCCCATAAATTAGCAGCAAAAAAATTAAAACTTTATACAATTTCAAAATAATATCAACTATAAAAACATACACTACTTAAGCTCATGTTCATCTTGGTTCTTCCCTCAATGTTCTGAGGCAATTCAATATCACATCCAGTGATCCTACAGAAAGCAGAAAATCCTCCCTCAGCCATCTTTCCTCCCTCCAATTTCCAATCAGATAAATTCAAGAGGAAGAGTGGCTCATCACAGTAAGCTACAAGCATTAAACCTCTGTGTTCTTCTCAGAGCCATTTAGTACCAAAGACCCTGAACACGGAGAAGCTGAACAGACACATCAGTATATGTGAATTCAGTTGACACTCTCACCCCTGGGAGCTGTGTATACCTTTATCCATGTACACACGGCAGTTTTTCATACAAAAAAGGAGTTTTAGAATTGGGTTATTTCCTGAAGCAAACTAAATGTCAATTCAGAGACAGTGTCATTTTAAGAAAACCCAATACATTCTTTACATGTTTTGTAAACACATTTCATCCCCTTCCCTTTTAGTTCCCCAGAATATCTTTCAGCTATCTCAAAGGGTAGCCCAAAATGATCAAAGCCAAACTTCAGTTATGCTGGACCAACTTCCAGCATCATATGCAATGCAGCATCCTTAGGAGGCTGGGATAGAGGTCTAGTGGGTGAGGGCTCTGAGTCATCATTCACCAGCGGCCACACAGGATGCACATACCTTTAGAGTTGTGCTGTATGTAAGCAGTAGAGCCATCTGCAAGTGTTACAGCTTGCAAACTCACACCTTCCATATTCTCTAAATTGTCACCATCTAGGAAAAAAAATTATTTTTCAGATAGCTACATATATGCATGCTAATGACATTAAATTATTTTCTATAAAATGAAAAACAAGGCAAAAAGCAAGTTGTTTAATTCTTAAAGAGACTCAAGTAGAATCTTTTTATAGAATTTACAAAAAAAATGATCTGGCCAAATTGAAGATGTCAGAGAATGAGAGGGGTCTAGGTATCATCAAGATACACTGGACACATGTATGGGATTCTTTTCAAAAATTAAGAAAACGTTAATTGCAACTTCCATACTTCCCTGATCCTTTCTAGCAAGACTGCTTACCTGCCACGGTTACTGCCTCTGTCAGGCATAGGGTAACATGCTGAGCCTCCATTCCTCCTCCAGGAAATTCTGTCATTCCCTGAGAATCCCGATTTATTTGCGCTAACAACATTTTCTACCTTGAAGAAAAATATGAACACTTGAGAACAAGAAAAGAAGCACATAAAATAAATCTAAGGTGGTAAAGGCACTCACTTTCAAGTTTGATGACCTGAGTTGCATCCCCAGAATTCCCTTAGAGGAAAGAGAGAGCTGGCTTCTACAGGTCCACCTACACACACACCAGTGAGCACACTAAATACTCAAATGTAAAACCTTGGCCGGACATGGCAACACGTCTGTAATTCCAGCACTCAGAAGGCAGAGTGAATTCTAGAACAGTCAGAGCTACGTAGTGAGACTATCTCAAAAAGCGAAACAAACAAAAAAACCCTTTATTTGAAAAAAAGCTACAAATAATCCTTGTGAATCACACACACACAAAAGTTAAAGATATGAATGATGCTTAACAGAAGATAAAATTTCACTTAATATGCAGGGTAGGGCTATTAAAACTAACGTCTCTTAAAACTCCAGCAAGACATACTAATGGCATAGCTAAAGGGAACATCTACATAGCAGTTTGGCAAACATGCCCAGGCTTGTTTTCTGCAATTCTGAGAAACTTATTGGTAGGGTGTTAAGTGCACACCTTTAACCACAGCACTCCAGAGGGTCCCTGGGAATCTGAGGCTAGTGTGATCTATACAGTTCTAGGCCAGCAAGGGCTACACAGTGAGACCCTGTGTTAAAACAATAACATAAACCACACCACCACAAAATTACAGTGCCGATTGCACTTCATTTCTCCCGTTTGCTACACTTCTCAACCTCTACTCCTCAAGTAGCTTAGGGCCTTGTAAGAATGCTATAACTACCCCAATTCCTTAGCGTCAGCATCCATCCATTTACCTGTATCCGAGAAAGTGTAAATAAAGCAAGCCGAATATCACGCCTATCCCAGCTATTACACTCTCCTTGTCACAGCTACTGTTCCTTTTCAAGCCAAGAACACTTCCTGAAGACTGAGGGTGTAGCTCAATGTTCAAGACCCACTACACACACACACACACACACACACACACACACACACACACACACACACAGTGAGGGAGCATACTTAATGATTTCTCATTATCTGCTAGTGTGTACCTTTAATTTTTTTGTAAATCCTCTAGATACAGTGATCTTTAAAATGAAACTGAAATTATTCCTAGAATCTACCCAAAAGAAATAAAAACTACCTACCAAAGACTTCCTTTTTAAAAGATTTATTTATTTATTTCATGTGCATTATTGTTTTGCCTGCATGTATATCAGTGTGAGGATGTCAGATTCCCTGGAACTAGAGTTACAGACAGCTGTGAACTACCACATGGGTGCTGGGAACAGAATCTGGGTCCTCTAGACAACAGCCAGTGCTAACTGCTAAGCCAACTCTCCAGCCCCACAAAAGACTTCTATAAGAATATTTATATGGAGGCTGGAGATATTTAGAAAGGATTTAAATGTCCATTCATAAAAAAGTGGGTAAACAAGAGGCAATGAATCCTGCAGAGAAAATTACACAGCAACAGGGAAAGACCTACTATGTATGCAAAAACACTGATGAAGCCTGCAATCCTAGCCATTAAGAGGCAGAGGTATCTTGGGTTAATTTGTTTTCCACCTGTAGTAAGTACAATGCTTAACCACGCAAGGGAGATGGAAGACACGCTGTCTTTACTGTCTTCTATTCACTGCACTCATTCACTTGAAAAACCGAATGGAACCATGTTGTAATTCCTATATTGCCTGAAAAACTTGGAATATATAAGCTGTAGGAAAAAATATACAGAAGAAAGAACACAGAAAGAGAAAGAACATAGAAAGAACACGAGAGAACAGAGAATAAAGAAGTCATCAGGGTTGGAAAGATGACTCAGCAGTTAAGAGCATTGGTTGCTATTCCAGGGGACCCTGGTTCAATTCCCAGTGCCCACATGGGAGCTCACAACTGTCTATAATTCAAAGATCTGACACCCTCATACAGGCAAAATACCAAATGCACAATAAAATAAATATAAAAATTTTTTTAAAAAGCCCCCCCCCCCCCCAAAAAAAAAGAGGCAGAGGTAGGGGAATCACTACAAGTTAAAGACCAGCCTGGGCTACATAATGAGACTTTGCCTCTGGAGGTGGCTGCTATCTCTTACTCCATATTTTAAATGAATTCTGGTGAAGCCCAAGATGAATTTTATCCAGCACCAGTCAGATCCGTAGGTCAAAATTAAGCTTAACTGTCAAAAGCCCCAGAGGTTACTGGTGGGAGCATGTGTTGAAGATTCAAGGCCCGAACCCTGATGCCCAACACTGGTTATGGGAGCCACAAGCACACAAGCACATGCTGGTTCCTGATATGTAACCAACTCTACTGTGCTGAAACCTCTGACAGCGTTCCCTCCTCAAAGCCATCCTGGAAAGAGTGGCCTGGCTGGTCACCGGTTTCAACAGGTTGAACAGCAGAAGAAACAGACAATTCACATGTACATTTCCTTCATGCTTAAATAAAACCACACACAAAAAAGGGGGGGGGGAAATAAAGAATAAATTAGAATATCCCTTGTCTTTTTAATGAAGCCTTTTACAGTGCTGGGGAAGAATCTTATACAAAATGCTAGGCAAGAAGAGCACAACCCCAGCCCTGTCCCTCAGCCTAAGATTCAAGAAACAGTCTGACTGACAGCTGGGCAGTCTCCTGGGAGCAGATTATCTTGCATTCCTTTGAAATTGAATATATTCTCAGAATAAACACCTCCCATTACACACCCCCCACTACGGCTGCCAATTCCTCTTCACGCTCTGACAGGGTTGTCATCTGCACTTGCCTATTTCCAGCACAGACAGTCGTGGTAAAACTTCTCAAGGCCCCTGTGACTAACTAAACTGTTTTCTTACTATTTACAACAGTGTAGTCATGAATTGCCATGATTTTTACCCTTCTAAACTTTTCTTTTTCAAAGCTGGGTGTGGCGGTACACACCTTTAATCCCTTGGGAGGCAAAGGCAAAAAGATCTCTGTGACTTTGAGGCCATGATGGTCTACAGACCTAGTGCCAGGGGCAGGCACAAAGAAACCCTGTCTCAAAACACCAACCAAACCAAAAAAAAAAAATGTTCTTTTTCAGGGCTACAGAGATGGCTCATCCATTAAGAGAGCATACTGCTCTTGCAGAAGACCTGGGTTTGGTTCCCAGCACCCATATGGCAGTTCACAACCACCTGTAGTTCCAGTTTTAGGGGATCCAACATGTTCTTCTGGCCTCTGCAATCACCAAGTACACAGTAGTACATGCAAGCAAAATCTGAATACACTGAACAAAACGTAAATAAAATCCCCTGGCAGTGGTGGTGCATGCCTTTAATCTCAGCACTTGGGAGGCAGAGGCAGACAGAATCTCTTGAGTTTGAGGCCAGCCTGGCTACATAGTGAGATTCAGGACAGCCAGGGCAACAGAAACCCTGTCCCAATACCCTCCCAAAATAATCTTTTTTTTTCTCTTCAAGACAGGGTTCTTGTGTAGCCCTGGCTACCCTGGAACTTGCTACGTAGATCAGGCTGGCCTTAAACTCACAGGTCTCTGCCTGCTTCTACTTCCCAGTGCCAGGATTAAAGGAGTGCACCACATGCTACTATGCCCAATTACTTTGTTTTCTACACTACTACATTTTTCTTATAATATTGTAATATAAAATTTAAAGTTAAGAAAAATTATTTTCCCCAGCACTCAGAAGGCAGAGGCAGGTAGATCTCTGAGTTTGAGGCCAGCCTGGTCTACAGAGCAAGTTCTAGGACAACCAGAGCCACAGAGAAACTGTCTTGAAGGAAAAAAAGGAAGAAAGGGAGGGAGGAAAAGAGGGAAGGAAGGAGGAAGAGAGGAAAAGAGAGAAAGATGATTCTCAATCACTTAACAAATCAAATCCCTTCTCTTTTATTCTCGACTGCTTCTGTCCATTTTCACACTTATATTTTAGTGGCGTTATTAGAGATAACATTGTATTCACTGAGGTTTTTCTTTTTTTTCTTTATATCAAGGCATGTTTTTTGTGCGTATGGTGCTGAAGCTTTTCCAGGTCTTAGACATTGCTAAGACAACTGCTCTTCCATTGAGCTAGATTCCCTAGCCCACTTTTCTTTCTTTTTTGGTTCTCTGAGACAGGGAGAATTTCTCTGTGTAGCCCCTGAAACTCACTTTATAGACCACCCTGGTCTTGATTTCAAACATCCACCTGCCTCTGTCTCGGAGTGCTGGGATTAAAGAGGTGTGCCACAACTACCTTAAAGCAGGCCCTGGTGCGGACAAAGACTTTAAAGCTGAGCTAGAGAGACGATGAAGTGGGAGAGTGCAGTCACCTACAGCATAACCGGCCCAGTTTCTAATAAACTATAAAAATGATCTCTAAAATTATACTCTACAGCATTTTTCACTTCTGTAAATTTTTATTAGGCCAGAATTTATTCATAACGACTATTCTTCACTGACCTAAGAGTTTGGGGAGGTGGGCTGTTACTTTTCTAGCAAATTAAGAGCACAGGGTATTGAGTTCACATGACTAAATGCTTACTATACACACTACTCTGGGTTCGGTTCCTAACACGAAACAAGACAAATCTTTTGCTTCCACACCATTTACCATTTCTTATTATGTACTAGGCATATATTGTTTTCTCATTAAAAACAATCACTCAGGCCAGGCAGTGATGGGGGTGAATGCCTTTAATTCCAGGGAGGCAGAGGCAGGTGGGTTCAAGGCCAGCCTGGTCTACAGAGTTCCAGGACGGCCACAGCTGTTACACAGAGAAACCTGTCTCAAAAAACAAAAACAAAACAAACAAAAAAATCAAGGACCAGTATGATCACTATTGGGTATCTGCCATCAAACACAGTTTCAAAAAACAAACAAAAATAAATAAATAAAGTTTCCAGGATTAAAACTGTTGAAAAGTACAAAGGTTTCTCTGTGTAACAGCCTTGGCTCACAGAGATCCGCCTGTACATTTCATAGCTACCCTGTGCTGTCAGGATCCAAGAAGACACTCCTGGTTGTATAGTCCTTTTTTTTTTTTTTTTTTTTAGTATTTATTTATTTACTTATTATGTATACAATATTCTGTCTGTGTGTATGCCTGCAGGCCAGCAGAGAGCACCAGACCTCATTACAGATGGTTGCTGGGTATTGAACTCAGAACCTTTGGAAGAGCAGGCAATGCTCTTAACCGCTGAGCCATCTCACCAGCCCTGTATAGTCCTTCTTGCCTAACTCCCAAGAGCTGAGACTATAGTCTGTCCTGCATCCTGTCCCCTACCCCATGTTTTCTTTAGACAGTATCTGTAGACAGAGCTGGTTCCAGGAAAATCCTGTCTTTAAAATAAAGGGGGGCCAGCCGGGCGGTGGTGGCGCATGCTTTTAATCCCAGCACTCGGGAGGCAGAGGCAGGAGGATCTCTGTGAGTTCGAGACCAGCCTGGTCTACAAGAGCTAGTTCCAGGACAGGCTCCAAAACCACAGAGAAACCCTGTCTCAAAAAACCAACCAAACAAACAAACAAATAAATAAATAAATAAAATAAAAAAATAAAGGGGGGCCAGATGGTGGTGGCGCACGCCTTTAATCCCAGCATTCGGGAGGCAGAGGTTAGGTGGAGCTCTGTGAGTTCGAGGCCAGCCTGGTCTACAAAAGCTAGTTCCAGGACAGGCTCCAAAGCTACAGAGAAACCCTGTCTTGAAAAAAAACATTAAAAAAAGGGGGGGCCGCCGGGCGATGGTGGCACACGCCTTTAATCCCAGCACTCGGGAGGCAGAGGCAGGTGAA